ATAAACATTCGAAGATCCGTAAAAAAGGCTTTCCTTGCTACTGGATCACTGGCTGGGGCGTAAACACTGCCAAGAGTAATATGTATCGTATTAATAATAAGCTTCGCGAAGGCCACACGTCCAACGGCGTCTATCCCTGAGTCAATAATTTGATGTTTCTTGTTTACCATAACTAGAGTACCGCCAGAGGCCCAGGTACCAAGGCTGCATATAACATTAAAATCGTTGAAGGTTCCTTTAAATATTTCTAATTGTTCTATCTTGGTCATGTGCAATTCTTGTAAGAGCAGTGCATCCAGTCGGGTATTGTCCACCCATGCCCGGAGTAAGGCTCTCTTCCGTACTGCGCATATCCCTCTAATGTTATATGAATATATGACAAACATTTTGAAGAACAAAAAGGAAGAATACAAGCATTGGTACTAAACATTACATAACAGGTTCATCTTCGTCTCTAGATGAAGATGAGTTGTATGTATGTTGTTTTTTTGTGTCATGAGTTTCAAAGGTTTCTTCTGAACTTGATGCATTATGTTCGATTTCACAAGAGCCAAATTGACGTTTCAATGATCCGGGCCCATCTTTGAAAGCTTGGAACAATTCTCCTAAGAAGGGTTTATCGTAAATTGTTTTCGGTGTACTATTCTGTCGATCTGGTTGTGTGGCACCGGGTGTCCAGACTAAATTGTTATTTGATAACAAAATGTTACTGTCCCGGGGAAAACCAGGTTTACTCAATCCTTGTTCGCTATTTATAACTGTTAGTAATGAATCGTTAATACCGGTCTGAAAACCATCAGAACCATTTTGATCCATGGTAACACTATTGTCACACGACTGTTGTAGTGGATGTTGTGCAAGAGACGATGAATGAGCATTAAGGACTTTCGAAGCTTGCGGTGGTTTAATAATGGGTACATCAGGTGATAAATGTGAGTTGTCACTTGTTATTTTGGACATTGTTCTCGACGTAGCTGAGTTTGTTGACTCTCCTCCTGCTAGCGGAGTTCTAACTGGTGTAGATTGAAAGAAGGTTTATTGAGCAGCTGCAGCTGCATATGTACGTCGTTGTTGACAATGCGGGTCGTTATGACCTAGCTGGTAACACACTTGGCATTTTGTGACAGTACAGTCTTTCTTAACATGACCAAATTGCTGACAACGAAAACATGCTTTTTCCCGCCCTTCCAGATTAACAGAGATTGTGAGACCGTACAATTTGACTGCAAAAGGGACCTTTTGTTCGTCCTTTTTCGTTGGAAAACGAATGCGTATTCGACGGACGAAAGTTTTAATTGTTTTAAATGGAGCCGGGACTGTTTCACATTCAATACCGACAACTGTACCGCCCCAAGTAGCCGCGATTTGCCTAATCTAATCATCTTTAATTGTTGTCGGTACGCCCAGCAAACGAATTGTTTTAAATTCCTGAAATGGTGATTGTACAGAAAACGTTTGTTTGGGTGTTCTTAATTCATTTTTCTGTAACAAAGTTTGTTGTGCAGTTTGCGTACTAAACATAATAAACCATTCCCTGGTCGAACCTAAATTACCTATTGAATCGATATCATCTGTTGACCCGACAATATCACCAACTGCTTTAATTATTGTACAACGATCGATTGCGGTGTCACCGCCGGTAAGAGTCAGTAAGACTGACCCTTTTAAAAGCCGGTTACGTGACATATGCAACAATTGATACGGCAAAAGGGGTGATGAAAATTGGTTAAAATGTAGGATGTTGGTACTACTAGTCTGAACTAGATACAAGAAGGAAAAGAAAAAGAAAAAAAAACCAAAAACAGGCTAACTACTACGGAAAATTGAGGGAACCTTATACTATAATGAAGCAGAAAGCAAATACAATAAAAGGTTCAAGATTGTCAGTACTATTTGAAGCTCGATGCATTCAAAACATTTCTTCAGAATTATGCCAGTCTTACTAATACTCTGTAAAACACTCTTCACCGAGGAATACCAGGGACTGGCCGTTAACAGTTTCCGTGAATACTACTTCGTGTCGATCGTATGAAAACTCCGATACCTAATAGTATCTAGAGCACCACGATGACCAACGAATAACTAAATACCCAATTAGTACCTTGTTCCAACTGATGCCAATGCAACTATTTTTGTTCAATATATTTTGTGTTGGAGAGTTCATGTACTTTCTATACGTGCACAAAATTCTAGTCACTTATACCTTTAACCAAACACGTGTGTATAATATGACAAAAGATACCAAGTGACACGTGTATATAAATAAATATGCACACAAAAGATAAAGAACGATAAAATACACTATTCTATGACCATATATTCAATATTCTATTATAAAATACGTCACTAATACTACCGCCGAATGTATTGCAATAAACCAAGGGTTCGGAAGCTCACACCCTTATAAACCAAAACTTGTGCTTATCCCCAGCAACACCCACGGTACAACCCTAGTACCTAATGGTACCAAGGCTACGAGAATAACAGAATTAACGACGATAAATTTACCACTTAATATACTACGCCCACCAATTCGTAATCAAATACTGTAGCTCGATTAAGCGTTCGTAAACCTACAACCAAGCAGTGCAAACAACTCTAAGTTAAACGCACTTCCCACCGTTAACAACTAAATACGATAAAATTTCACCGTCAAACGTGTGAATACACAGAAAATGCACAGAGAAGACGCAGAAAGGTTATTATTGGTTGTTATTGTTCAGTATTCGTGTATAATGAATGATTCGTAGTAGAGGGAAGAGTAGTGTGTGAAAAGTGAAGAAAAAAGTTGTAGATCAAAATTAGTAGATTTCATTTGAAAGTTGAATTAAATGCC